CTCAACAGTTCAGTGGTACCAGCATTGCAGAGACATCGCATCATAGAAAATGGGGAAAATCACTTGTTTGCTGGGCGGGGAAGACGTTATCGTGGGTGTCGATGAGACAGTGTTGGCAAAAAAGAAATACAACTGTGGTCGCCAGCGTGCGAACAATATTTGGGTAATAGGTTTGTATGACACCTCCCTCCGAAAGGGATTCGTCGAAAGGATAGCAGATGGAAAAGCATTTTTTTATTTGTATTTTTGATTTACAGCTTGACAGTCCCATGCTAAACTGGGGGATGTTTCTCTCACATGTCCGAGAAAGATATCCCATGTAACTTTTTTATTCTCTATTTTGTGCTTTTTTTCTAGAAATATACATTTCTATTCATCATATATGCCTCTTTAATGTAATTGGTTCCTTCAAGGTCGTTTGCTGATTGGTTGTTAGTGGTGTCTAAAGTTTAACTTTGCCGGAAAAAGATTCTGACTGTGGTGGATTAAGAGACTGAAAAAAATGTTTCTCCGCAGTGAGTTCGAGTTTGAGTGTGCCCACAAAGTGAGACTGAATAGTACAAGCGTTTTGCCTCGGACATTTGATTATGGAAAATCGTCAGTTGACTTGGATGCCATTGAGAGAACCTGGGTCACACGGACAAAGGTGAAATGGAAAACAAACAGAAAAGCCAACACACCACAAGCATACCCACAGCACAATCTCACACATCGATGACGACCTACGCCTTCCAGTTAAAGGCATCCTCTTGACACATCCTCTTGCAACACAATCGCCACTTGCTAGAATGACTCTTGCAGAATGCAGTGTGACCATAGCAGCACCTCATGACACTCTACGCACATCCTCGTATCTACTCACTACCAATTACCACTGCGATCGCTTGTCACTCATTCTGCCTTAGTTCTAGTAACGGTGACGTATGCGAGCCTCAGTCGTTTACACTCCCGCTCCCCGGCGTTTCGGACCGCAGCTAACAATTATCTCCGTGTGCATTTCATTCTCAGCAATAGCCTAGCCTCCCCGGCGTATACGCCCCATCTGCTGTCCTTAACATCAATCAATTCATTCATGGATGTAGAAGAGTGGACACAACTTCAGAAGTAATCACGACGAAAATTTTAACAAAATTATGCAATAACAACAAGGTACGAAAACAACGAGTAAACACAATGAATCCAACAAACACCAATTGATATGACACTCCACAAATATATACAAACAGTACACACAAACTCGCAGTTCATGTCTTGATGGAATTCCTTTGAAGAATCGCAGCACTTACACCAGTACGCCTACAACCCTTCTCACGTTGACGATTGTAAGTTGTGGAATGTCCGGACACAAACAAGGTTAACCAACAATTACAATAATTGGAACTCACACAATTATTTAACACAAACATATGTACAATCAACACATCAAATGTGGTGGATTCTGACTTGACGAACTACCCTTGAAAAACTGTAGGACTTGCAGCAGTGCGCCTACATTCCTTCTCAGGTTGATGATTCAAGTGGAAGCCGTCCGGACACAAACAGAAATACCAACAGCTGGATGACAGATGATACCAATTCAGTATATACAATATGAACATATGTACAAAATCACACACCAAGCACATTGAACTGCTGATTGATGCGCTACCCTTTGAAGAATTGTAGGACTTACAGCAGTACGCCTACAACCCTTCTCAGGTTGACGCCCTAGGTTGGAAAATCGTTACAGAGTTCATTTGCTGACTTCCTTCTATCAGCTATATCCTCAAATCTGAACGGCAACTCGCTCATGTCATTGTATCGTAGAATATATATGACTAACAAACACACGACGTATCTGACCAACCAAGCGTAGGCACAGATTAATTTACACCAAAGGTAATAACATTCAAATAGTAACTTGAAACTAGAAATGCCTTTATTCATGAGAGTCAATTTAACAATTACCCTTTCGTTTACACTTGGCTTATTCTCACTAAATTGACCATTGATATTCGTCTTTTCAAACGAACTGATACTAGCATAGTCATTGCACAAGATACTTGAGTTCATGGGCGTCTTTTCCATTGTGGATGACAGCAACAGATGCGACTGAGTGACACAAGTTGATGAAGTTAGCGGTGGAACAAAAGTTGTTGTTGCTCGACTTTCAGAAAGTTGTCTGACCGCAAGACCACCACCACTGCTGTCTTTTACTATCAGCTCAGGCTTAGCACTGGCATCTGATGATAGGTGGGCTACATGCTGATCCCTCACACTGACGGTCTCACAAGTTTGCGTGCCATCTGCAACTGCACCTGCATTTATTTCTACTTCACGTTTAAGTTGTACAGAATCTTTGTTCAACTTAGCAGTAGTAGGCATTCCCTCCATTTCATCATGATCAACCAAATACAACTGTGAAATATCATGATCATTATCACGAATATTCACTTTACCGTCAACTTCATCATTTTCAAACTCTTTTATAACAGAAGTAGACAATTTTGGTTCCTCCTCGCAAATCCTAAAAGGTTTTTTATCTTCACTCTGACCAGTAATACCTTGGAAACTTGTGGAGTCAGAACTGGACTCTGAGACTGTAACTCTCTTCTGTGACACTATTCAACAATGGCTTACCAGTTGCAACTACAGACTTCTTCACCGCACCGTTATCGTCACACAATTTGGAGTCAGGCCTGGAGTTTACATTTAGCTTATCACTGAACTTGCTCACTGGTTCACAGTTCACTTCTGTATGCACCTCTTGCAAACGTGTAAAACACAACCGTCTTTGTCTTGCATCTTGCCACTTATCTGTTGACGATGTACTACGAAACCTGTTACACTCACTAGGTCTATATGCATTACTATACATCATGGAGCCTTCTCGATATCCACCTCTCTGAGGCCTACTCGTCATCAATGATTGCATTTTTCTCTCAGACTGCTCTATTCTAGGGGTGAGATGTAATAGACTGGCAAACTTGCTCATAGATTGATTGACACTATTGTTTACCAGTTTCAGAATGTCGTCGAACTTTTGCTCGATACCCTCATCCTCCATACGCTAGCTTGTCTTCACCCACTTCCTTTCCAGTCGGGTAGATAGGCGTCTTGCTATTACTTCTAGTATAAAACTCGAGTTGAGGTCACTCATGCAATTCATAGAAATCAAGGTATTCTTATAAGTCATAAGATTATCTAAAAACTCAGTGAGTGCCTGGGAGTCATCTTGAAGTTGACTGCCGTTACCTTTGACAGCTTCGTATACGTTCCTTACAATAATTGAAGGTCTTCCAAACCTTTGACGTAGTATACTCATAGCCTCATCGTAGCCCTCTTTTGGCTTCATAAACTTACAACACTGTATAGCTCTTGCAACAATTCCAGTGCAATACCTCATCAAATACATCAATTTCAATTCATCACTTAATAGAAAACTACTCAACATGATCTCAAACTCCTTTACAAATTGTAAATAATCAGCTGGGTTTTCATCAAAACACCGTGGTTCAAACTTAGGGAGTTTGATGTTCCTATTATCCCTGAACGGCGAAACAGTAACATCAACCATGTCATGCTTAACATCAGACACATCGTTACAATTAACAGACAAGTCACCATGACTTACTTTCCTGTTTGCATCCAAGACACTCTGTCCCTTCTTTGACCCAGGCATTGTTGAAATTGACCCAATTCCGAAAACGTTCCAGATATTGCTTGTTCAAAGAGGACTTGACCGGCACCAGGAAAGATGAACGGCGACTATCCAAACTGTCACCAACTGTTTGAATCCGCCAGATCTGTTTCTATCGTCAGAAACTGTCAGTCACGTCTCGTAAACCGTTAATGCCCAGCTCTCCCTACGCTCGGGCTCACGCTGTCGCTTGAAGTTTCTCAGAAAGGCTTAGTAACAACGGACGAAAAAACCAAAACACCAATTGTTGACTTGAGTATTCTATATTGTTACACCAACATATAAATCAAGTATGACTAAGGTCTGTGAACGAATATTACAATAATAAATCATAATATTACTTCTGACGATGTTTTACTCTTCTTTCTGAACAGCGACCGATGAGACGATGACTGTCGTATTGATGCCTCCGCGAAAATAGGGGAAGTTGATTTTGAGCAAACAACCAAGAATTGATCGTTCAATCTACAACTCCATTTAGAAGTGTCAATGACCATCTGTGATAATTTAACCATGACATGAGTTCATGATATACCGGTCAGTTGTGCTTCATGTACCTTATCATATCTGATCGACTTTTTATGTGAAATTTCACCAGGGTTTTAAGTAGCTTAAGTTTCGAATTTGAAGATAATTGGCTGAGGCAGTCAGAGCAGAAATGAATCAGCACTAAGTGAGTAGAATATTTTGTGTTATTGCAGAGTATCCAAGGATTAGCTTGACTATATCTAAAAAATTCAATGTAAAATCTGTATCAGTTACTCTACAGATACTTTCGGACAGTTGATTTGTTGTGTCATTGAATGGCTGGCCTAGACTAGAGGTTTTACTGCCACCTCAGGAAGCTTATGGAATATATTCTGGAAATATTACAATCGAAGTCACCAGTGTATGGTTATGTGAAATGTGTGTCAAATAAAGTTATTTCCACTAGCGATCATAGGAGTTTATTTATCATATATCATATGGCCTGAGTGTTCGCTTTAACAATTCTAATACAGACAGTATATTCAGTCACTTCGTATATCACCATATAAAAGCACCTATTCATTCACATGAAGAGAAATTGAAGCATTTTGATTTTTTGTGATAACTTACTTTCCTAAGTCTTCGGGCACTAGGGCATCCTGATAGCTTCATGAATATGGTGGGACCACTAGGGACTGTTGCACTCATTTGAAAATTCACCTGGGGAATTTCAGGATAATTTACGAAAAAAGCATTCCAATTAGTTATCACTTGATAATAACTTGGGGATGATAATATTCACCTTTCAAAGCGTCTCAACGTTACATTTTGTTTTTATATAGTAAATTATAAGGTTGTATGAAGGTACTATAACAACCAGTATTCTTTCAAATTCACATTAAGTTATAAATTATCAATTTTATCATCGGCATCTCACTCTTATCCATCGTTTCACAATGGTCTACAACTATACCAAGCCACGCGGTCCTATAGCGGCTATGTATAGTAGCCCAGGGCCTTGTTATTCACTACCTGGCCTTGTTGGTTATGCAAGTCATGATCCACGTTCTAATCATCTCCGTGGGGCTCAGTGGTCTTTCGGTATTAGACACGGAAAGTTTAGTGACGAAAGCAGTCCTGGACCATGCTATTATCCAGACTCTAAAGTTCTTCGTGACGGAAAGGATGGAACACCTCATTACTCCCTCTACAGCAGACAAAAGGAATCAATGATATTTTCAAATCCTGGGCCGGGAGCATACACCCCTGAGAATAGTGATCATTCAGTTTTTCATAAAGCCCCTGCTTATTCCTTGAGCTCTCGAAACAAAGAATTTAAAACAGACGATGTTCCTGGTTCGTAAATATAGTAGTGTTTATTCAACCGTTTTAGGACCCAACAGATATAATGTAGACCCTATGCTTGGAAGAACAGTACGTAGTCAAAAGCAGTCAGCCCCCGCCTATTCTTTATCAAGTAGAACAAAACTCTTTGGTGCTGCTGAGGTTAGTTCATTGATAGGAGAAATAGTTATTTCAGACACCTGGTGCTGGCGCATATAACGTTACTGACCTTAATTTGTACCATGAAGCGGCTCCTAAGTATTCAGTCACGGGGAGAAATCAGCTCCCAACCGATTCGACCAGAAAACCTGGACCTGGAGCTTATCATCCTGAAAAGGTACGTTTACTCTTTCTCACGTTATCAGTTTTCGTTATATAAAAATTTATCACATTGACATTCGATTTTGCAAACTGTATAAAACAAGCTAATTTTTACAAATAAGGGTTATCGCTAAAGACATTGTGATTTTAATTGTGTATCCACATTTGATTGGAAGTGAACCACACTTTCTTTACAAGAACCTTATAAATTACCGAAATGTTAAACATAGTTCACTCGTAAATAAACACTCAAAACCTGCCGATACAGTGCCGTTCAGTACTGTTGTTTCTGCATACGTGCAACCTTTAAATTACATCTTTTAGTTTTTAATGTTACTTAACAACATTTATCGGTAAATACATCACTAATTTTGTGTCTATGACATTGTTCGCCTGACAAGTGTAGCTCCTTTGATCCATCTGTTAGTTAGAGGATGCGGTTTTCTTATTTATGCTTATTGCTTCATGCAGTATCCAACACAAAAGAATTTCTCAGTGACCTGTTGTTTATCTCAAACCACACAGTTACCATAGTTAGACACTACTCACTGTATAACAAAAATGCATGGACGAATTTCAAGATTTTAAAGTCCCTGAAAAAATATCTTACTGGTTGTTCCAAGTATTTGTGGTTGAGTAAGTTCAAACTACAAGCAGTCAGCAAGTTTCTTGTGACATATTTTCATCGTATGTGTGTGCACTGAACGCTACATATCTGAATGCTATCTTACTGAGAGGTTTGTAATGTGTTTAATTATTTTAATTACAAATACTGTATTTTTTGTTCATTACGGATACTAAGAAAATTTGATAACCCTGGAATTATCCCATATGTAAACATTTTATTCTGCATAGGCTTGAATATATTCATTTTATGACATTGCAATTTTTAAAAACCTGACGTGTATTATTCAGACATTCTTTGAGACTAATCAACGAGATCAAACACAACGAATAACCCTGTATCTTATAGTTTATGTAGGAGACCCTGGAAAAGGAGGGAAAAGAAAACGGATCAAATGTAGAACAGGCAGGTGGACTTATCTATTGACAGTCAGCAAATGTTTAATAGTTAGAGGGGGTAAATAAATAAAAGTGATTAAATTTTTGTTGAAGACTTTGGAAAACATCAGTAAGAGTGTTCAAGTACTTAATTCTAAGATCCTATGTGGATCAATTTGTTGACTTGTGTCATCGAATAAAGCGTTATTACCTTGATAAGACTATGTCATGCTTCAGGCAGTTACTATATTGCAATCCACCTATTTCAATAATTTGGAGCTGTTGTAGCCAGTTTTAAAGTGATTTTTAAGTGATGACTACCTGTTACTAGTTGGGATATTTTAAGAGTCATGAGGTGTGTTATAAGTCTTACTTATGACTATTTAACTAACCACGGTGGTTTTTATTTGGTAAACACTTTCCTATTTTCTGGATAATCGCTTCAAATCTACTGCAAACACAGTGCTGAGTCGTTTTCAGTAGGACCTCATTTTATTTTGATTAGTCTTAAAGTAGGAACTATAAAACATCTATGACCTTATACTTTGGTTGAAATTTTGACGGTGTCATAGACTGAGCCTGCTCAATAATAAGGTTTCACTAATATTTAAACTAACAGGCAATCAAATTAAATATAGAACGAGTGGTCCTTAGTGACCACTTGCTGTCATTGTTTTCAAGAAACAATCGCATACAGTGACTTTACTGATATTCATGGAGCGCAACCCTGATATGTCGTCCAATAAAAGCACCGAAGGAGAGCTCTGGCAGTCAATGAATGCAACAAAGGTAACTACCCTTACAAGTTTCAGTCGCCGATACTATCTCTAAAGGTAACTGATATTTTCAACAGTGTTTTTAGTCTAATGCTCTAAATCGAAAAGCATGTTTATTTTATATTAGTAGCGTGAGTATAGTTTGGATATTATCTGAATATTGCGTATGACTGAATGATTAATTGATCACGATGGGACAGATTCATTTACAATGTATTACCAATTTTTCGGCACATTCACAACTCTCCATTAAATTAGTTTTTCTCTAAACATCTACGTTCGCTATATTATCGTCAATATTGTTAGTTTGTAGTTTTAATGTCTTAGAAGTGTGACTATTTGAGCTTAATTATATCTGTACAAAGTTCTACTGTATTTGCTATTCATCCTTTTTGTGTGAGAGTTACAGATGATTTTTAACATCTTGAGATCATTTCGTATAAGTACAATTAGTGCACTAAAGCACATAGTTTGTTGGAATACTCTGTTTAAAGTCTCTTTCGCATATAAGTTTATTCGCATCTTATGCCTGCACAAACGAAAAAACTGGTTATGTAAACAGTCTGTATGATCAAATCACATAACTTCATTCTGATTTCTCTGCCATTAAAATTAGTTCTTGTGAACAAAGTGTCAAGTGAACTAAAATCATCTTCAATGTAACGTATATTGACTGTTTTGTTTTCCCTAATGATGGATTTCGAGGAATTTTCCGATGCTGTCATCACTTAAATATCATATTGCATTTTTTGCCACAGTGCTGAGAAATATAGTTCGGCTCCAACACATACTACAGTTCTTATGTGGAGCCCTACCTGCACAAAATGTATGCCACAATCATATATAAGTTTTCGGTGCTATTTTGTCACTGCGTTAAATATTGTTTTAGTTGTAACAGTAAGTTAAGTGTAAGGGTATTTGCGAATACGCAATCTATGAACTAAGTATTTTTTCGTTTGTAGAATAATCTTTTGTATAATAGTTATAACCAAATATGAAGAAGCGATTACTTTGTAAGTACTCGATGAATATACCGAATTATTGTAGGTGGTGTATCTTATGACTGAAAAGCTGTCAAATGGTTATGAATGTAGTTTGTGGTATTTACACTTTCCTTCTGACTACTAACACTACAGTTTCGTCATAAAACAATTGGTATCTGAAGCTGTTGAATGTTTTTGAAACCTAATTTTATGCAGCTAACAGTCAGTGAACGGGCTTACAGTTTATTTCATAGGGCATCATTACAAAGTACCACCTTTATTCATATAATGTTTATCGTTTTGTAGCGGCGGGTATATTGGACAGATTTTACATCCAGTTAGGCGGAAATCCTACTATTTCTTCCAAACATACAAAAGGGAGTCAAACTATTGACACGATTTCTTGATTGAAGCGGTCACTGCCAGTACCCGAAATTATTGTTAAAACTGAAATTTAGTCTATCTCATAATAAGATAATCAGATACACGGTAATACAGTTAAGGACTTTTTAAAGTGGCTAGACACACAAGTCCATGAGAAAGCAACGCTGGGTAGAAGTTTCATCACTGTGCGTCGGTGGCACAGTGGTTAGAACTCTCGCCGACCATGCACATGGTCCGGGGTTCGAGCCCACGCCGGCGCACACCTGATATCTATGGTTGGCCTGCAAAATTTGGGCTACCGATATCCATGCTGAAAATTCCATACTTGTACCAAAAATACAGTGTGGAATCAAGCTGTAAATCAAAAAAAAAAAAAAACTACTAAGTAACTTTTAATTTTCCTCTTCAAGAAGAAGTTTTCGTTGTTTGAGAAAGTGATTTATCAGAAGGAAGCAAACAGATAATTACAAAAACGACCGTGTGCAAACTTTTTTATCTAAATAGAACAAATCAACAAATTACACTCACCAATCCACCCTTTTTGTTACATTGGCTTAAGTGAAATATATGTAGTTTACAACACCATGAGGCACACTGACCGATTATTAATCTTATTGTAAACTTGACTAGCTGATTTTGATGAGTTAGGAAAACTCCTGTTTCTAAGTAGGATAAGAACCTACTCTTTAGGTTTGACTTTCATCTACCTGCCAAACATATATAGGGTGCCCGAGCAACCTGGATTACTTGGATTCAGAAGCAGCATGTGCAACCATCTGGGAAAATAGTTCAGGTTAATTGAGGCATCGATTGTATTATCAAATAAAAACAATTTACTTTTGAAATAGTTTTCGTGCTTCTCATGATAATGTCATTAAATTACTGCACATACTTGTTTAACCTTGTAAGGAATTAATGAAATTTTGATGACAAAATGAGTGTCACCAGCACTATAGTGTGGCATAGTGACATGCAGAATAGGTATTATACGGAGACTTAGTATTACTTGTTTCAAGTGAAATGAATGTTTGAAATATTTTCATAGCATGATTTGTTAACGGTTAATTGTTTCTGCACCAAACCACCCTACAGATTGGCTTGCAATTTGGTTCAGCGACGGACTTTGCTTTCTTATCTGCTCGATCCTTCATAGAATTTCATTCGTTCATTCTCCTAAGTAACTAGGTGCCCTTTATCTTGCAATGCTTTAAATGGTGTACGCTGTGGTGCGGTACAGAAATTTCTATCTATTCTGAAGTAAGTATTGATGACTTTCAGTGTTCTTAGCGTTGTGTTTTAGGTAGCATTTATCTCTCGAATTCGGTTAATTACTATTCTGGTGTATCTTTACAATTGGAACTTTTATGTCAATAAGCCTTTTTAAATCTAGATGCTTTGAATGATACTTTCTCTAATGGTTTATACGTTCCGTCTGACTGTTTTTCAACTCGATGCAACGCTCTTTAATATCTTAAGTAAAAAAATAATTCCTTTCTGAATAAAATTTTGTAGCCACCGCTGCACAGTTATCATAAAGAATGTTTCTTTTTAACAAAACGTATTTTATAAAACACAACATAATCGAGCAAAGAATATTCTTTTCAATAAATTCCTCTTCTGGCTCCACAATTATATACATGTTTATATACACAGAATATTCAAGGTTGGTAGTTAATAACAATATTAGTGTTTTTTAAATAATATCGATTTGTAAAGCAAGATCAATGCAATTACAGTTCACTAAAAATACTTAAATTATAATAGTAATAAAGATATAATAGCGAGTAGGATATCAACTAAAATTAGGAAATTTTCACGAAAATTGAGAATCATTCAAACCTAGATGGCCAAGGTAGGGACAGCGTCTGAACTAACTTCTTTTGGACGCACAAATTAGGCATTGATCTTGCTTTACAAATCGATATTATTTAAAAAAACACTAATATTGTTATTAACTACCAACCTTGAATATTCTGTGTATATAAACATGTATATAATTGTAGAGCCAGAAGAGGAATTTATTGAAAAGAATATTCTTTGCTCGATTATGTTGTGTTTTATAGATATCTGAATGAATATTTTTGCTATATTAAAACGTATTTTAAACAGTTGATGGTTTTTAAATTCTATTCAGTTGTAATACTGCTTTTTAGTTAATCAAAAGTTGTTTATGGTCTTCGCAGTAATGTCTTTTTTTAAAGAAATTTAGCATTGATTTAGGCTTTTTGTCATGTTAATTACTAGAAAATGAAAAAAATTATTAAATTATCCGAAGATGTTTTGTACCATCACTAAGATTGCCAATTTTGAGAAAGGTTTTATCGTCATAATTTTTCTGTGTTCAGGTATATGCAACTTCAAAGTCTGCACCACAATTCTCATTTGGCATTCGTCATTCACAATACAAGGGCGAATTCATAACAGATGCTGATCTAGAACAGTAAATATGCATCAAGGATTTGCAACGAAAAATATTTGCATTGATCTTTCGGAAACCAGATTTACAGTCTAAACATTATGAATGTAATTTATTACGTATTCACAGGTGAACTTGAATTCCATTTATCTGCGATGAAAAACAAACATACTTTATTACATCTTAACTTCACAAATCGTATTCTTCACTTTTTATTGTCCTAGTTCAACTACAGCCTTTATTAAATTCACTAAGTTGAATCCACTATTTTTCTATTTCAGTGCTCTATAAATCATTAAATAGAGAGAAGTTTGCTAAAAACTTTGTGATGATTTTCTGGGGGAAAAATATTTAACTGATTGGGGTTAAATGGAAAGGAAGGAATATTCGTGTCTCACATCCGATGTTTCCGTGTCGCCGAGCTGCCTTGTGCGACTAAAAACTAGATTGCATTATTGTGACGAGAACAACCTGCAGATCAAGGTACTTTTAGTATATTCTGTTCTAGTGGCTACGAACAGGTTTCTGTGATTGTCAGATACCACTGACCTCACTATTCCATTCTTTTAGGTCAAGCAGCTTTTCTTCACATGCACACATGCATACAATTAAATTGGGAAGGAAGAAATTGCATGTAAGCAACAATGAGAAAATGTAAATGTAGTTGTCTTCTTGCATGTCAATTTTGTTGACCTTTCCTATATTCGGAAATAGTGACATTAAAAATCGAAAGTCAGTTGTAAACATTTCTCTGCCAATTTTAGTACAGAGAAATTACTGATATTGCCATAAGCTTTTCATGATAAAAAGAAGAAAGTACGAGCATTCACTTTGCATATCTCGTCTGACTGCACATCATGTTCAGTGACCTGTGTTCATAAAATAATTAGGGAACCACACATAATGCATGAAATGCTTTTGTGATAATGAATATTAGTTTTCTTAGTACTGTAAGAAATTATGCTTGCGTCCTTAGGACTCAAGATAGATGCACTCAGATAGTAGCGATGAGAACTAGTTTTAATCAGTTGATCGCTAAGATTTTATGGTGGCATCTACTCAGGGCGTCTATATAAAACGATTTTAGAGTTTGAAATATACTCGCACTCGTGAATGAGAAATATTCTAAAGAACGGGAAAATTGGGCACTTCTGTTGGAAAACATTGGTTGTCTTCAGTTCACATCACAGCTCTCCATCGGCTCGAATCTGACTGTGTGTGTTCGACTAAATTGCCTTAATCAGTGCAGTACACTTTGTCGGAACTCCCTTCACTATCAAACATTTAAGAAGACGATTGCAGCGAAGAAAATTTTCTTTTCGACGAAGTCATCATCTAGGCTGTACATTCGTGTATTTATATCAAATGGATGGGAAAGTTCCAGAATAATTTCCGGTTAAGGGTCAAATTAATAAAAATTACAGTTAGGAATTAGAATTCCATAATAAACAGGGGGAGGGATAAAACAAACAAAGTAACATCACAATTACCAAGAAGATTGACACTGTGAAATTAAGGGTTAGAAATGTAGAAATAACAAAATAGACAGGATGTTTGGATAAAAAACTTAATATGATGAATAATTGTTTATGCAATCAAGGATTAAATATGTAGAAATAGTAAAATGACAAAACAAACACGAAGTTCGAGTATGAAAATTTGGTAGTGTAAACAGGGATTAAGAAAAACTTAAAATAACATGAACAAACAAGAAGTTTAGATAAGAAAGGCGATGGGATGGTCATTAGTAAAAAATTACCTGTTTATGGTGGCCATGGCAGGGACAAGGGTTGGACGTATTTTTTTTGGATACAAAGCGTGCGTTTGAGCTTTTGGATAGCTAGCTCCTCGGCTATGCCCAGATGTCTTGATTTTGCTCCCTTTGATGGGTTTGATCGAATCTTGTAAATGATTTTGAAGGATTTTTCGAGTGGCGCTGAATGTCCTGAATTCACCAGGTGTTCTGTCACCGAACTATTTACCCGTTTTCGTTCTCCTTTTACTAGCCAGGCTGGATAGTGTTCACGAGCGCGTTTTTCAAGTCGGTGCATGGTACGGCCAACGTACTCAGCTCCACAAGAGCAAGTAAACTGGTATATGCACGTTGAGGTGGCCCAATGCGACAGCTTGTCTTTCGCGTTCTGGCTGAACAGTTTCTTGCAGGAAAACGTCATTCGTAGGCTCGCGGCGAAGTATGTTTTCCTCACTGATTTGGAGAGGCGTTTACGAAGAATTTCTGCTTCGATATCACCTTTGAATTCTAGACTAAGCAGAAGTATTTCCTTTGGAACGGATTGGACTTGTTCGGAAGTCTTCTTAAATTTGAGATTCTTGTCTGTGAAAAACCGTTTCCCATCGAGGTTTTTCGGAGACTGCGCAGTTTTTCTCCAACTACTTCCTCGCAGCATACCTTCCGAATCCTCGAGGAAAGAGCGTATATCAGGTTCCTCTTTCTGCCTAGGGGCACGAAGCTTTGAAAGTTGATGAATTGTCCATTCCATGTAGGCTTTTTGTATTTGGACCTTTTCAGAGAGTTGTTGGCGTTTCTTTTCAGATGGACGTCCAGACTTGTCTCTCTTCTTATAATAAGATAGTAGGATAATCAATGATTCACATCAGTATAACAGAACTATAGCTGACTCCCAAACATTAACAAATATCTTAGTTAACCCAGATAAAAGTTTGTAACCGTCATGTCTAAGGACCTCTGAAGTTGTTTCATTATCTCTCACTGGTTTGCCTGGTTTCATATTAGAGACAGCCTTGTATCCACAGTTACAGGTGAAGGGTCGACGCCAGCATTCCATTCAGGTAAGTTTCGTATATTGGGCATGTTCAGTGAAGCTCTAGGAAAGTTAAACTGATTCTCACAATGTTCTGTCCAATGTCTCAGCTGTCTATCCCGCAAAGAAAGGAAAGGGTGTCTTTTAGCTATTCTTCGTGAGTAAACATGTAAACGAAGCTAACTTGACTGCTACTTTTATGAAGCGTAGCAACCTGAACTGCCGCACTTCTGTGTGATGTTATACCTTAAAACGTTAGCTCAATTAATGATTCAAGCCCTAAAATCTTGTTATATTATTATATTATATTATCATTTTCTTTATGAAACAATGGTCCTGTCCTCACGCATATTTATTACAAGTCACTAAGTAGCCAATGTAGCCAAAAATATAAAATTCTACAGAGTGGCTCTCGGATTTCCATTGGTGATAGAATTAAAAGACTCGAAAAGAAAAAAATTGTTTTTCGCCGAAAAAAGCTTATAAATTGTTCGATATCATTCGGAATGCTTCACATCTTTATGTTAGGTCGACAACCTGATTTTATATGCCTACCTTATAGGTATTTTAATATCCTACCAGTTCACAGGAAAAAAGACAAGTTTGAGCAGGTTAAAAATTCTGGTTAGAACTGCCAAATTTGTAGTCGGCATGAAATATACTCATTCATTAGCCGTGAAACCCCCATTAGTAAGAATTATTACTATTCTCGATGATTCTGAGTGGAGCACAGGGCTTCAGCAGCACATCTGGGGTTTGTACTATTCTCTGCAGTCCTCATCGTCTTGCACCATAATTACCCATAGTCTGTCACTGCCTTCTCATACGATCTCCTCCACGCCACCGTTGGACGCCCAACTTGTCCTTTCGCATTCTGGTTCTATTCGAGAGATGGCCTGGCACGCGACGTCACTAAACTGTCCCCTCAGAGTTTTCCTGACCAATATTCCTTTTCTTCTAAATATTGGATGAGCGATCAACTGTCGATTGCTTCTTTCGGAAAAGTTATATTTTGCTAATTCTTTCTAGCCATATGATCCTTAATATGGAGCCAGCTAAGGCAATTGTTGATAAAAGTTCGCAACTTGTTGTAAATCCTTTTCGTGACGCATCGAGTTTCAGATGCATACACAATAACTGTAACAGAATTGAAAATCGGAATTTTGTTTTTGATGCTCAGCTCAGAAAATTTCCAAACTGATTTCATAGCGGTGAAATTCTGCGTTGCCTTTTCGATTTCGGTTCACTTTGAAATCTTAATCCGTGCTGTCTCCATGTAGTTTGAACGATGCTGCCCAAACAAATGAAAGAAGTTACCCATGTCAGATTTCTCCTGTTGACGGTGATTGGTGCTGATTGTTGTCGCTGTTGGTTGGTTATCTTCATCAACTTCGTCTTCTCTATGTTCACTTGAAATCTTGTCCTTGTTACCAGCCTCTTCTGTCAAATGTTGGTTTTCATCTGCAGGTCTTCAAGTCTGTGTGACATCAAACTTAAGTCGTCTAAAATATCCAGATGTTCTAGAGTCTTCTTATCGGCTCAATGTATTCCTGTCTCCTTGCTAACCACAGTCTGACGCATGATCTAGTTCACCACCATTAGGAATGTCATTGTGCGCCGGTGACATAGCGGTTGGGTTGCTTGCCGACCATGCACATGGTCCGGGGTTCGATCACCGGCCGACGGACTCCTTTACCTTGCTAAACCAGAAATAATGCTGGTAAAGAAGAAAGGTTGGGCGTGAGGCTAGCAACCTCATACTGTAAAAATAAACACTGCTACAGAAACTTCAAGTCACTAGCCTGAAGCCCTATGTTCCACTGGGAACGTGAAGGAAAAAAAAGGAATGTCATCAGTGATAATAAGCAGCCTTATCTTACTCCTATATTCAATCCAAAGGCCTCACCCAATTTTCCGTTTTGGATCACGTGATGCGTGCCATTGTCATATAGCTGTTGAATGAAGTTGATAAGGGTTTGGGGTACAATTTAGTGTTAAAGCAATTTCCAAATTACTTCTAGGTCACCGCTGTCGATGACCTTTTCGAAGTTAGTGAAATTGAGGCAGCGATTCGACTGCTATACCCCGCTCTGTTTGATAATGTTGCGTACAGGCTGTCGAATGACATCGCGTTCAGTGCCGACCATTGCTCTAGTAGAATCCGAGGAGGAAACGAATATTGGGTCGTCCGAGGGTGATTTGGAGGAGATGAGAGGTTATAGGCAGTCGTAGACTCAGATGAAGAGGACAGCAGAAAATGAAACCAAGTGAAGATGTGTTGTTGAAGCCCTATGTTCCACTCGGAATCCTAAGGAATAATAATATAGGTGGGCAGGTGAAATCGAAATTGATTTTCTTGCTTCTAGCTCATAACACTAGCCTTGTGATGATAAAATTGAAAAATGTGCCCAACATTTGTACGACGTCAGTAATATAACATGGAAGCCTATTTCCACTACTGGTAAACTGTAGTTAACAAAATACGTGATATTATTTATCAGTCAACTTAGTTTGCAAATATTAACAATGTTTAGAGGT